TAAAAAAAATGTTTATTTCTTAAAAAAAAAAAAAAAAGGAGAGAAAAGGTTGGATGTTAACATTTGCGTCATATTTTTGCTTATTTGAGTTTCTTAATATATTTGACTCCACGTAACCGGTTCGATGACCGGTCCGGTTTTTAAAACTATGAATTCTACTCCTCAAATCTTCTTGTGAATATAAGTTAAACTTTTTATTCAACATAGTTTTCGGTCTGCTTCCACATTAATGGCCAGTGCCAATCGTGCTCAAGCAGCACCTGTTCCTGGCAGGAATTAATTATATGTAAAAAAAAGTGCAACACTTAATTAACGATTACACGTTATACAAGACAACACATTGTGAAAGAAATTTTTGGAACTGGGTGGTGTACTACATCCATTAGCACAATCTACAATTTCAGATTCATCAGCACCACTTTTCTTTGCTTTCTCACACTCATTCAAGAATGTGTTGAATGCTTCCTCAACATATTTAACTGCCTCAGAAACAGTCATGTTCTCAATTAACTTGTCAGGGTATATACTCTTTTTATGATCCCCATTTAGAGTTGCTGCCATTTGCACCAATTCTTCCTGAAATTCACTCAACTTGACCTTTTCTTGAGCAGCACCTTCTCGTAGTTTGATGGGATCAGGCAATTTCTCTACAAAATTATCAATGTGATCAAAAATTAATTAAGCAGACATTAGTTTGTTCATTTTAAGTATAATGTGTTTTTTTTTTTATTAACAGGAATTACAATGAAAATAACAATAAGATTTAAATTTAAAACTCCGTATATATTATTCTAATTTTCATCGTGAAATTAATTTTAATGATTTTTTTTTTCATTCTACGTATCTAGTTTGTCATAATGTGTCCAGGTATATACATGCATGAAATATTTATTTTTAAGGATAACTTTTGTAAAATGATGTATTGATCCTTCAAACTGATTAAAACTCAAAATTTAGCTTATGATTTCAATAAGGTGTATGACTTAATTAGTCTTTAAAATTAGTGTGTCCAATAGGGTATCTTGAAATGAATAAATTTGAATTGTTTTAAAACTATAAGATAAATTTGAATGTAGAGAAATATTAGTGAGAATAAGCATCATTTCAAATGCATTTTTTTAATTATTTACTACATTTATAAAGAATCGTGATCATGAAAAATATATAGAAAAATCTCATTCCTTAATTAATAAAATTCACTTATAATATTATAATTTCTCGATGATTTTTTTACATGATAATAAAAAATATGTTAGAGATTGAGCGTGTCCCAAATATTCATCTTTAATGAATCAATGACAAAATTTCAATTGAATGTAAAATTTTGAGGACAAATGCATCATATTGTAGTCGATAAAAGTTTTTTTTACATATATAAAATACAAAGAAGTTGTTTATTGAGTACCCATTAGTGCATGATCTGATAACATCGAATGAAATTACTTAAAAAGTAAGTATTGAATAACTTCTTATGTTTTCAATATTGTTATTTTTAACTTCTTATCATATACTATTGCTAAATACAAATATATAAAAAATAAAGAAATAACTATATGCCAAAATAATAATTAAAAAGTATCTCCCCAAAAGGGGGAAGTCAGATAATAAGTGAAGCTCAATTCACCAAAACATCATAAATATAATTTCTTTTTGTATTGGCACATAAACATTAATTAGAAACACAATCTAACACAACAATCTTAATCTTAATCTTAACAGAGACGAAAAGGAAAGACAAAAGATAGATATTTGACCTGGACAATCAGTTCTTGGGCTGCTTCTAGTTAAAAGGCCTTCAAATGTTCCAGCCCATTCATCACGCTTTGTGAGAAATTCTGGTAAATTGAATATCTTCTTCACAGTTGCTGGTATTGAGGAATGCTCATATTGTGACGTTGGGGATGGTCCAGAAGGTTCGTGTAACACTATACAACATTTTAGTAGTAATCGATTAATAAAATTAAAATCTACATTTAATACTATTTTCATAATATTTTTTTAAAATAATTGTTAACATTAATATTGTTTTTTTTTTGTTATAACATATGTTAAGCCCTCTTTTCTTTAATCATCACACAACCCACTTGATTTTTGTTTGACTAAGTTACATTTTAGTCCATAAGCTATCATAATTATGTAAATTGTGCAATTTTTGTCCTTGTGTTAGATTTTATTAAATATTTAACAAATTTTGTTAATGTGACAATGAATGATATTATGTAGATGATGTGGCAATCAACAAACTGTCTAAATGTATTTCTATGTTAATATAAACTTAATCATACCTTTGATTACATCGTAATTATAAAAGACAAAAAAGTATAATTAAATTTATGTTAACATGTGTCAAAACAACATGTCAATTATTAGATTATCATTCATTAATTGTTTCATCAACAAAATTTGTTAAATATTTAGCCAAAAATATTAATAAAAGAACTAAAATTATTCAACTACAATTCTTACACAATTGGTACATGAATAATCAAATCACACAATTATGATACCCAGAAAACGAAAACTTTCAATTAATTGTTCTTTTATGTTTATGTTAAAATGTTGAAGCATGATCCAACCCAACTAATTATAACTACACAAACATCATTCATCTATATACACACTTCTCAATTAATTACTCTCACCTGTGCCTGGCTCAATCCATGGAGAAACAATAATTGCTGGAATCCTAACACCAAGTCTATCAAACCGAAACATGAATGGTTTAGGGCCAACAATGCCATCTGGACTAGGCACACCTTCCACAGGGGTTGGCACGTGATCATAAAACCCTCCATGCTCATCGTAGATGATCACAAACAATGTTTCATTCCACTGAGGACTACTTCTTAGTGCTTCATACACTTCTTTCACAAACTTTTGACCCTCTGAGACATCATGAGATGGGTGATCGTCATTCCCAGGTATTGATAGCAAGTCGAAGAATCTTTGCTCAAGCACCACGTAGTTTGGTAATTTCCCTTCTTTGCAATGCTTTCTAAACAAGTCGAATGGGAGAAAATTGTCTATGTATTTTAGTTTTCTCAGGTTCCTGGAAGAGATATATAATAGGATAAATTGTCAAGAAAATACGGGTAACAAATTAATACTCGTATATAGTCCTGCATTTAAATTTTAAATTGGGATTACAACAAAATATATGCAATATAGTGATTGTAATGTGGATTACATTGGAGGGATATACAAGCTAACTGTGGTCAATGGAAAATCTATGCATCGTGGGATACGATAATTATTTATTGGCTTTTTCGTCTCTGATCAAATTGTAAAGAAAACTTAACTTGTCCATTTTTATTTTGGATAATATTAGACTAGAGATGATCCTAATATAACACCATTTATAAACTTAATAAAAATAAAATAGAACATCTTTTTTTATATTCATCAAATTACAATCGCAACACTAAGATTCAAACATAAAATCTTGTGTATTTTACTTTAACTCTCATAACTATGTCAAACTTAGTAATTCATAAAAATAGAACATTTAATACTTCTACATATAAGTAGATAAATATAGAAAATATTTTAAAAATAAGGTAAAAATGAATTACTTTGATCAACTTTTCTACAAAATTTATTAATATAAGTTAAAAACTGTTATTTTTTTATATGGAATATCAAAGAAGGTCTTCTAATATTCTTTGGCATCTATCAAAATATAAATTTCAGTTAATACTTTTAGTGTTTTATATTAATATACATATAAACCTCTAGTTCTTAAAAAAAAAAAAAAAAAATCCTCGGTTGACACATTGACCTTCATGATGAATATACAATAAAGATATATATCTATAACTTAGTTATTATTCATTAATAGGGATTATGGATTATAGATTAAGAAAAAATATATATATAATGTGGAAACATACTTGCTTTTACGGTTATTATTATTACAATACCTATAGTAAAATAAAGAGAAAGAAAATTGAGAGAAAATATAAGGACATCTTTTAGTTTTTATTTTTTTAAATCTGTGTAAATCAAGTTTTATATAGACATGACAAGGAACCCCTCATAAATTCAAAAAATGTAATTGTTCCTATAAAGCTCCTCTATGCCGATAATAGAAAAATTAACACTTGTAACTTCTACAATTCTAATTATTACTCACTTAATACTTAATGTTTATTTTGTAACTCACGCGTATTTAACTCTATCAATATAATTTTCTTTTGAAATAATAACACAGTTCAAAAAGTTACAATAGTTCATTTTTTTTTATCTATCAAAAAATATTACTCATTTTTAAGGTAAAATTTAGGAATAAAAATTCAATAATTTTAATAAAAACTTGTATATTATACTATATATATCATTATTTTTGTGTTTATGATCTCAATCACATTATTTTTTGCATTTCAATTTTTTTTTTCTCATTTTTTCATTTAGTTGTACAAGTTTCATTTTTTAACAACCGGGTATATATGTCATGTATTAACGTGGCCCTCCATTCAACACGAAATTAAACTTTGTGGGATAGGATTTTTTTTTTAACATGATATATACTGGAATTTAGGAAACCCAAAACAAGCAAACACTTACTATATCTTCCTAAAATATAACATGACAAAAGGACATAACAATTAGCACAAGCAATCAACAACATTCAAAACTAGCAATCTAATAATCTACCACCAAGTCCAAAACAGTGCAAGAAGAAAACGGTAGCTAATAAGTTAAGTGTGAACCAACCTATAGAAAAGTGTGGCAGGTGGAGACTGATAATAGATCCCAAAGCTGAACCCATTTTCATCCAAAGAATCAAATATCGTCTTTTGAGGCAAACCCCCAATAAGCTTATTGGTGTCATTACTAGTCAACCCATGTGACGTGGCGGAATGCACATAGAGCCGGTTCGGTTGGGTCGAAGCGGGAACCGAAGCAAACCAACGGTCACAAACCGCAAACTCCTTAACTAACTCCTTGTAAACCGGAACCAAATCCGGTTTGAACCCATTCATCACCGTTTCTGTCATTGTCATTGTTGTTGTCGCATTTTTTGATATCTCTTTCCTCGTGGCATTTTGAGCGAAGCCTTGCATATTTGGCGGCAAATTCTTTGCCGCCGAAGCTTCGCTCCATGGCTCACCAAAAATTTGTTCATAGATGTCTTGGATCGAGTGACCCGGATCCGGGTCAACATAGACCGACTTGTCTGAGAATTGGACCCGGTTTGAGTTTGGGTCGGATGTGGAAACTGGGTTTGATTCTGAACCGGTGACCCCGTTGATTTCCGGGTTAAGGGACTTCATCCAACCGAGCATGTGGTCGAAGGAACGGTTTTCTTGAACCAAAACGACGACCGTTTTGATGGGGGAGCCATTGGTGGTTGTGCTGGAATTTGAAGCCATGTTCTTGCGTTTTGATTAATTCTGAAATTGAGAATGGAACTAAGTGGGTGTTAAGAGCATATATATATAAATGCATAGAAGCAAAATTGTATAACGAAGTTGTACAGTTGATGAAGCAACTTAGAGAGGTGGGTCAACGATGGGAGAAGAAATGATATTAACACGTTATTTCATGTTATTTTATTATGTGTATTTTAAGTGAGTTTTATTAAACTCCTAAATTAATTTGAATGGTATAGTAAATGATATTCACACGTTATTTCATATATTTTTTTTATGCATATGAATTAATGAAAGTAACATGATTATTTTAAATCAAAATAATGGTACATTAAGGCTTACATAAAAAAGTTAATATTAAAATTAGAGTAAATAATTTATATAATGATAAGAGACAACTTTAATATTATTCAATTAGAAATTGACTTTTCTTTTATATATAAATCATTGAAAATAATCATATTTTAGTTAAATAAGATTTTTTTTAATGTTATACGGTGTCAAATAATTACTCTTAAACCACTTTTTTTTTTATTATCAAAATAATTAAAAAAATTGTATTTTCTTTTTATCTTGTTACTCGTTCTAACTACGTGGTTTTGCAAGTTATATTTGTATACGTGTTTTGTAAGTTGTTTTTGTATATTGTGATCGAAGAAATGTATACACTAATTAAATCTCAAACTATGTATTTGATCTAAATTCCAAAATAAGACAAGTATTGGAAAAAGAGGTTGATCATTTGCGATGATGCATGTTGGACGGGTAAAAGAGGGTAGCATAAGACAATACTATATGTTAGCTAAAATATATATAGTTATATTGCGTAGAGGTTAAATTAAATATTTTATCATTTATAAATAATTATATATTTATAATTAGAAAGGGAGAGAGAGAGGCAGTAAGTGAAGTATGTATGGATAAAAAAAAATGTAGTACGTATGATCATTAAGGAAGTAAGTGTAGTAATTGAGTAATATATATATATATATCTTGGGGCTAGTTATTCTAGTCTTTGAGGTGTCTCCAACGTAGCGAGAAGATTAGTCACTGTTATTGATCCTGAATACTTTAGGGACAAATCAAAAAAAATAT